GAATTATGTTGTCATATTGTGAAACTAGAGTTTAAAGTGATAATTGCATGGAAAATCGTGATCCTAGTGTGTTTAATTTCTATTGATTACAACAAACGTGCGTTCTCAACAATTGATTTCATTTTAAAGTTTTAAATTATTGTTTTGCTTATTAATTTCATTACAATCATAAAAGCTGCATAAGTAGGGTTTTCTTTCCAATTTTAGAGTTTTAATTAGGTCCACATTCATTTTGAGTAATTTGGTTTCGGTTAAGGTCGAATAAGTAAAATTGAACTAACCAATCTCTGTGGGACGATACTCGGACTCATTGAATCCACTTTATTACTTGTTAACGAACCGTACACTTGCGGTAATTTAAATCGAAAGAAAATATTTCGTGAACAGTTGTGCATAAATATTATCCATTATTTTATATCACTCTACCTATGTTAACTTTAACATATTTCATTGAAATTGGATAAGCTTTTAGGTGATACTACACATATATTAGGATGTTCAAATCGGTGTCCACTCTTTTCACGTAAGGAGAGGCTCACTTCGATTAAAATATAATTTAATCTTAGTGGGTTCCCCCTCCATGTGAGGGGGTAAACATGAGTATAAACAACGCATTATGTACGAGTAACATATTCTAAACTTTTATGAATTATTGACATTCAGCTAGTTTTTATTTATTTATTTTTACAAAAATGAAAAAAAAAAACACACCAGAAGAAAAAGGATTGGTAAGAGAAAAATCACGAAAAGCATGAAGGTATTGCAAGAAAAAATCTGGGTCTGTGCAAATGGCTAAAGTTTGCTGGTTTACAGGGGTCTAAAACCTAGGAAAGTTGCCCGAAGAGGAGGATGTCACGGTGATCTTTGTAATAGTGATTGGGTCATTACATAGATATATATGTTTTGTAATGTATATTTAACAAAGAATAGTTTTATACTTTTACATAAAAAAATAAGTTGGTGCATGGAATTAATGAATTGGTTAATAAAAAAGAAGCACATTTTCTCTTGTTTTAGAACTATATTTTTTAAAAGAGTAATACTATTCATAGTAAAGATTATCGATCATCGCCTTACATGACATACACATGGCAATCTGTAATTTTCTTTTTAAAACTATTATTTAAACAAAAATTAAGAGATTACACATTGTTATAGTTGAATGTGATGCGAAAGACATCTATTGGTTGCTTTTCTATTCATTACACACTTCTTTTCTAGAGAATAATTTTTTTGTAAAAGGAAGAAAAAAAGATAACTAATTTACCAAACCCGTTAATATGAAACATTCTTGTTTAAGTGAACTCTTTAAAGAATGCTTGATGCACATGGAGTGTCCCAAAGAATGCACACACTATGGTTTTCAATACATTAGATATATTTCAAAAGACAGAATTCCGTATCAAGAGATATTGCGCCCCTGTTTGATCCCCATTAAATGACATTTCATTACATTCTATTTTTCTCTCTTCTATTTTCAACTACACAATCTTCCATAAAATAATATTACACGTAAATCGAAAACTTTTCCTTTTTTTTTTCAACCACTCATTTTTTTTAACAAAACACTATTCCCCCATTTTCATTACCAAAAATGGGGGCCAAACGGGGCTAATAGAGGTGCATCTCTTTTTCATCAAAAAGCTCATATCTTTACAAATTTATGCTAATAATAACCATTTACAACTCATTATTATATACCCTAAAATCTTTGAATAATGTTGCATATACATAACCTTTTTAACAAAAAATTAATTTCAAGAAATCATTGCAATCAGGAGTGGGGTCTACTCTTCATAAGGAAGCTCAAACCTTAACAAATTTACACTTAAATTGCCCATTGTCAAAATTCAAACAAACAAAAACTTTATTCTCAGAATTCATTCAAATAGTTTCCACACTAAAATGCACGTGCGAAACGCCACCATTTTCTATCCACAATAAAGCCCTAACTGATAGAAGGAAGAAGAAATAAAACCTCTAACCAAAATCAGTCATTTTATCAGGACGAGGTTGGTGGCAACGTGCTAAGGCAAAATGAGGAACAAGTTTGAGTTTGGACAGGTCCAAGTGGAGATTAGAGTCTTGATCCATAAGCAAAATCCGAAAAGTTGGCCAGTGTATAGACAAACTGAAATTGAACAAAACCTAAATCAAAGTTGGGAAGTTCAAGCTCTTATATGAAAATTTCATAACACCATAGAGATTTGTAAAGACATCTTTGCATTTGCCGAACCAATTTCTCTTTCTAGATGTGTGGAAAATTTGCGAAGCAAACATAGGTTAAAACATAAAAATTCATCTGAAGCAAACGCTCATAAAATATCTAGCCTTTGTCTGGGAGTGATTCTTCCAGAATTAAAATGAGAATTTTGCCCATTAGCTACAGTACATGGGTCCCATTTTGGCAACGGTTAAGGGCAAGTAAAATGAGAAATATCGAAAATGCCCATCTGTCATAACAAAATTTTTGACCGTTAAGGACAGAAATGTCATTCTGCCGAGAAAACGGTCCAAAATTGCGGCTACATTTCTGACATATTAATTGAAGAACTGCAGCCTAGGTCCCACTACCTCATCCAACAGTCAAAAAAAGCATTTTCTAGGCGGCAACAATCGCTACCAGACAGGGCCCTAATAGCATACTAACATAAACTGCATAGAATATTATATCTTTTAAGAGAAATGATCTACTAAGCAACAATCTAACCAACAACAACATGACCCGGTTAATAACAAATTTATTTCAAATAATGTGACCCACCATAAAGTAATTCATTATTGAATTAATATGTCATGAGATCGATGTTTAACAGATAATTTCTCCATATTTAAATACTCAATGTCATGACTTTTCATGGAGTAGTTAGGATAATGTGCTTCAAACTCTTTACTTAAGAATGAATGACATGACGGAAGCAACTAATACTTGAATAAGGCAATGAAAAATATAAAGGATTTATTTAAACGTTATATAAAACATTAATTGCTTGAATCTATTCTATTTTTGTAAACGGATAAAAATTTTAACTTCTTTATGTGATATTGTTTAATTTTTATTTCTAAAAAAGACATTTTCTTAGATTTATATTATTATTATTTAATCATAAATTAAATTATTAATATCAAACAAGAGTCTAAAAAAGCAACTTGAATAAGATAAAAAATTGTTAGGGCTTATTCATACATATTATAAACTTCAGGGACTTCAGTTGCAAAATATATGCCTCCTCCGCATAACCGTTGCAGTTACCAGCCCGCCAAAAACCGTATCCACTTTTATTTCTCTCTATGAAGGATAAACCATTCATTCGACAGTTCCAAACATCAAATTCCAAAATGAAATCACTGATTTTGATAACAATAATCTCTTTCTCAATTTTCAATTATACTTTCGCAACCCAAATCCTCTCCAAATCCAAACTCGAAAAATGCGAAAAAGTCTCGGATTCGCAAGGCCTCAACTGCACTTCAAAGATCATTCTCGACCTCGCGGTCCCAAGTGAATCGGTACATAAAAATTATTTTGTGTTTTTTGATTTATCCATTTTTTCAAAATCATTTTCTTTGTGGTAGAGTGGGAGAGAGGCGTCTATGGTGGCGGAGATAGTGGAGGCGGAGGAGAATTCAACCAATATGCGTACGCTTCGGGTTCCACCTGTTATAACTATCAATAAATCTGCAGCTTATGCTTTATATGAATTGACATACATACGAGTAAGTCAGAGTTATCAATTTCTATTGGGTTCTAATTTAGGCTGCAATTTTTTTTGTCCTTTTAGTTCTAGTGTTCTTCTTTGTATGTCCGTAATTTTATTTTATTTTTTTCTGTTGGAGTTTCTGGGAATTTTGTTGATGCTAATATTTTTTCTGTCCGTTGCTTTCTTCTCGCATTGCTTCTAAATATTTTTTTTGAGAAATTTCCTTAGGGCATAAGAAAGTAATCTTCAGTACATATAAAAAAAAATTATTTGATAGGATATGTTAGCCATTTTTGAAGGACTACAAACTCCAAATTGGAGTAGCCAAAATTTTTAAGGTAATTTTGTTTACATTAGGCAAATGAAAATTGACCTCATTCATTCAAATGTTCAGATTAAGTTTCTTTAAAAGTTGATTTCCGATATTCACAAGACTTTTTACAAGAAATTATCTACTGCATAGAAAATATATGAATTAAACATTTAATTGAGAAACTTCATATAGAAATTAAAATACATCCTTATGAGTGACTCCTGAGTGGCCAAACTAGGATTAAGTAGAAAAGTAGAAGATTGTCAAACAATTATGGAAGTAAAGAAGGGAAAGATAATATTGAATATCATTCTTACGAATATTTTTGAGTGCATTAAAACTAAAAATCCTCAATTTCACCATGACTGAAATGTTGTTACTATTCTCTTTATAAGAAAATAGGATGTAGTTATAGTGAACATGACTGGTACATGGGGAAATGATAGTATTATGTGATAATGAGGTCAAACCATATCAGGGATGTTGATTATTGCAAAAGAGTGATGCTACACCTACAAAAAAGGACGACAAAGTTGGTTGACAAAGTATGAGTTGGCAATATCTTTATCACTCATTTCAAAAACAGTTTTTCAATTCAAAACAGATTAATGGCCTAGATCTTGCCAACATTGATTTTGTCAACAAACTTTGTTAACCTACTTTGTACAAGTAGATTAATTGATTGCAAAATACTTTTTATAGCTAATTTATACACGCTATTCAATTAAAAAAATATTATGGTGTTGTGCTTCTTGACACAAGTACAAAATGGAAGATTTGATTCTACATGGTTTCTTATATCTGATGTGCAAAATAAATCTTTTATTGCAGGATGTGGCTTATAAGCCTCAAGAATTTTACGTTCAAACACGAAAATGCGAGCCTGAAGCTGGAGCGGATATTGTTAAGATATGTGAGAGGCAAGTGTATCAATATGGATCCAATTATGGACGGATTCCCTAATTACAAATTCCCCTTTACCCTCTCTTTTCCATTTCCTAGTTAAGCATGATAGAGAAGTGATTATTGTAATTGTAGCATAATTAGTGTAATGACCAGCGTGATTAGTGTAATGGCTAAGATTGAGCCTTGTAATTGAAAACACATATAGTATATAATGTAAACGAGTTTTATTGATATGGTATCAGAGCCTTTGCTCTAAAAAGAAAACTTTCCTGGTATTTTTTTTGGGCTTGACTGTAAAGCTCAAAATCGTTTTTTTTTTTTGGGACTCACCTGACGGATCACTTACTATGGTAGCCGTCGATTCTGTGCAGTCTATGTGAAGGAGTTGTTGGGGGTGAACTCGACGTGAATTCTGCCCATCTTTGTGTCGTCGACTCCGGCTAATTGTGTTGGAGAAACCTGTGGTTGGCGGCAATCACTCCTATTTCCAATTTCGATGGACGGGCTCCGACTTTTGCTGTCGGCGATAACTGTCTTAGGTTCGGTCGGAGTTCTTTGGTGTCGAGAAGGAGGGACAACGAATCGGCAGCCTCAGCTTCATTCCAGTCTTCTTTCGTGGTTGATTGTTAGGGCTTGGGTGAAGTATATTACCAATTGGACTTTATTTCTAATTGGGCAAAACCCGCTGGCTAAAGTGACTCTCTAATTGGGTGTCTCTTTTGGGCCAAATTAAATTGGGCTCGAGGTATTGAACTTATTGCCACGAATTAATATTTGTTGGGCTTATGTGTAATTTTTTTAATTATGTCTATTGGAAATTCAGAATTTTTTGGTGTGAAACTCACTGAAAAAAAATTATTCTTCCTGGGAATTTCAATTTCGTTTATTCGATACTTGGAAGGAATTGTGGGGTCATATTGATGGAAGTGATTCTGCCCCCACGGATCCTAAAGAATTGGCAAATTGGAAAATTAAATATGCTCGGGTTATGACTTGGATTTTAGCATCTATTGACCTAATGATTGTTCTAAATCTAAGGCCGTATAAGACTGCTAAGAGTATGTGGGAATATTTGAAGAAAGTTTACCACCAGAATAATAGAGCATGACGATTTCAAATGGAGTCCGAAATTGCTAGTTATCCTCAAGTCGATAAATCCATTCAAGAATATTATTCTGGGTTTCAAATCTTATGGGCAGAATATACCGATATGATTTATTCCAAGGTGCTAGACGCCTCTCTTGGAGCAGTTCAAGAAGTACATGAGCAGAGTAAGAAAGATCAGTTCTTAATGAAGCTGCGGCCTGAGTTTGAGGCAGCTCGATCTAGTTTGATGAATCGTGATCCAACTCCTTCTTTGGACGTGTGCTTTAGAGAGTTACTTAGGGAGGAACAACGTCTTGCTACACAGGCCAATTACCAGCAAGACAAACCACCAATTAATGCAGTTGCCTATGCTGCTCAAGGAAAAGGTAGGGTTAGAGACATACGAAAGGTCCAATGCTTTAGCTGCAAGGAATATGGACATATAGCTGTCCACTTTCGAAATAAATATTGTAACTATTGCAAGAAATTAGGGCATACAATTAAAGAATGTACCACTCGTCCTCAGAATGCATATCAGGCTATAGTTAGTACTTCCCCTGCTAGCAACTCATCTGTTCTTACTCCTGAGATGGTTCAGCAGATGATTATTTCGGCCTTCTCGTCTTTGGGCCTTCAAGGTAAGGGTTCTCTACCATCATCATCATGGCTTGTTATTCTGGTGCATCGAATCATATGACTAGTTCTTCTAATACTCTTTGCCATATTCAAACATATAAGGGATCCTCATACATTCAAACTGCTAATGGAAGTTAATTACCTAGTTATGCCGTTGGAGACATTAACTCCACTATGAAAGATGTTCTCGTATCTCCTGCACTTTCTACTACATCTTGTGTTTCTCTTGATTGTTCCACATGCCAATTAGGTAAAAGTAAATCTCTTCCCTTTTCTTCTCAAGGTAGTCGGGCTGAAAGAAGTTTTGATCTGATTCATAGTGATGTGTGGGGTATGTCTCCGGTTATATCTCATACACATTATAAATACTTTGTTACATTCATTGATGATTATAGTAGGTATACTTGGATCTATTTTCTTCGTTGTAAATCTGAGGTGTTTTCTGTTTTTCAACAATTTATCGCTTTTGTTGAAACTCAATTTTCTTCGAGCATTAAAATACTAAGGTCTGATTCGGGAGGTGAATATATGTCTCTAAAATTTCATGATTTCCTTCACCAAGAGGGCATTGTCTTCCAACATTCTTATCCCTATACACCCGAGCAAAATGGTGTTGCAGAACGTAAGAATCGTCATCTGTTAGATGTTGTTCGTACATTGCTACTAGAATCCTCAGTTCCACCTAAATTCTAGGTTGAGGCTTTATCTACGGCAATCTATTTGATTAACTGATTGCCTTCAAGTGTTCTGAAATTTGAAACTCCTTATTATCGCTTGCATCATCGACACCCAAACTACCTTGACATGCATACCTTTGGATGTGTTTGTTTTGTTCATTTACCTCCACATGAACGAAACAAACTTTCCACTCAATCAGTTAAATGCGTGTTTATGGGTTACAGTGTTTCTCATAAAGGATATGTTTGTTATGATCCAAACTACCATAACATGCATACCTTTGGATATGTTTGTTTTGTTCATTTACCTCCACATGAACAAAACAAACTTTTCGCTCAATCAGTTAAATGCGCGTTTATGGGTTACAGTGTTTCTCATAAAGGACATGTTTGTTATGATCCATGCTCCAATAGATTTCGTATCTCTCGTCATGTTGTTTTCTTCGAAAATCAATATTTCTTTCCGACTCATGTTGAGCCTTTATCGGAGACACCTGCCCTTCCACATTTTGATGAGTTGTCCTCTACCCCTGAACGGTTCAAGCCTGGATTCGTATGAACGACGACGCCCAACTTTGCCCCTCCGTGTACCAGACCCGCCATCTGAGGCTGCACAGACACAACCTTCCATGAATGAGCTGGACATGGATACTAATATTCGCCATTCCACCAGAACTTCTCGTCCTCCTGATCGGTATGGATTTTCTCATACATCTCTTCATGCTACTTTGTCATCTATTCCCATACCTACAGGGTACTCTGAAGCAGTAAAACATGAATGCTGGCGGGAAGCAATGGAAGACGAACTTCGTGCACTTAAAGATAATGACACTTGGGATGTTGTTCCTTGTCCTAAGAATGTTAAGGCCATTGGTTGCAAATGGGTTTATTCAATCAAATTACGGTCTGATGGGACTTTAGATAGATATAAGGCACGATTGGTTGCTCTTGGTAACAAACAGGAATATGGTGTTGATTATGAGGACACTTTTGCTCCAGTAGCCAAGATAACCACCGTACGAATGGTTATTTTTATTGCTGCTTCTCAAAGTTGGCCGCTCCAACAAATGGATGTAAAAAATGCATTTTTCCATGAAAATCTCAAAGAAGAAGTTTACATGACACTACCTCCGGGCTTAACCTCTAGCTCATCCTCAAAAGTTTGTAAGTTGAAGCGCTCATTATATGGGTTGAAACAGGCTCCACGAGCATGGTTTGATAAGTTCCGATCTACCTTGCTTCATTTTTCATTTCAACAGAGCCAATATGACTCTTCCTTGTTCCTTTGCAAGAACTCTACCGGTATTGTTCTTCTCCTCATCTATGTTGATGATATTGTAATTACCGGAACGGATTCCACTTTGATTACTCGTCTACAGCAGCATCTTGAGGCCTCTTTTCATATGAAGGATCTTGGATCTCTTACATACGTCTTAGGGCTGGAAGTTCACACACATTCCTCTGGTATTTTCCTGAATTAGCATAAATACACGTAAGATTTGATTAAGTTGGCCGGTCTTCAGGATTCATCTACTGTGGATACTCCTCTAGAAGTAAATACAAAGTATCGTTGTGAAGAAGGTGATCTTCTCTTTGATCCTACCGTGTTTCGTCAACTGGTGGGAAGCCTGAATTATTTGACTATTACGAGGCCTAATATTTCTTTCGCAGTCCAGCAAATTAGCCAGTTCATGCACACTCCACGTCATCTCCATCTAGCTATCATTCGTCATATCATTCGCTATCTTCGAGGCACATCTAGCCATGGATTGTTCTTTCCTACCGGGTCTTTTCTTTGTCTTACTGCTTATAGTGATGCAGATTGGGTTGGTTGTCCAGATACCCGACGTTCTGTCACGGGATTGTGCATGTTTCTTGGTGATTCTCTGATATCTTGGAAAAGTAAGAAGCAAGATCGTGTCTCTAAGTCCTCTACTGAATCTAAATATCGGGCAATGTCTGCTGCTTGTTCCGAGATTATATGGCTTCGGGGGCTTCTTGCTGAACTTGGTTTTCCTCAATCTGGTCCTACTCCACTCCATGCCAACAACACAAGTGCCATCCAGATTGCTGCTAATCCAGTTTACCATGAGCGCACTAAGCATATTGAAGTGGACTATCATTCTATTCGTGAAGCTTTGGATACTCATGTCATTTCTCTTCCTCACATTTCCACTGCTCTTCAGACAGCTGACATTTTCAAAAAATCACTGACACGAAATCGTCATTAATTTCTTGTAAACAAATTAATGCTTCTTGATCGATCAGCATCAATTTGAGGGGGATATCAATATGGATCCAATTATGGACGGATTCCCTAATTACAAATTCCCCTTTTCCCCTCTCTTTTCCATTTCCTAGTTAAGCATGATAGAGGAGTGATTATTGTAATTGTAGCATAATTAGTGTAATGACTAGCGTGACTAGTGTAATGGCTAAGATTGAGCCTTGTAATTAGAAACACACACAGTATATTGATAAAGTGCATTTTCCAGTGCACCTAGCTCTATTTTCAAGTTATTTTAATATTTTGTTTTAGTTGGATTTGATATATTGTTTCATGTTTGAGTTTTATGTTGGATAGCTAAATGGAAATTGAATACATGAGTATTTCTACTAGTGCATGCACCCTTATGAGCTCTAGTGGATTCTCACAAGCATCACTAGGGATGCGAAATAGACAAGTCTACGTAATGGCACTATGTTGGCCACTCCCTGAATGAATAGAGGTTTGAGGATTCTTGAGCTGATTTAATACCTCTAGAACAATGCCCATAGACGGAGATAGAGTCCCTGCTAGAGGCATTATCAAAGGTGATGACATTCTGATGATGAACTTGTTAGTGCCCAATTGCCTATTTCTCATAAACGTTGATAAATTTTGTAAGCGAAGGCCTTACGAATACCTTTCTGGCTATGGGATCCCCATATTTCATGACCAACAGTGTTTTCGCCTACCTCGTCAATACATTTATGACCAACTTAGGATTTACGATGAAGTGAATGATGTTATTATTGTCATAATCAGGATATAGCTTTTTACTATGAAACTTGTGATTTTTTGATCTCATAATAAAAAATAAAAAAAAAGCATGGTAGGTTTTTCATTATTTTATATATATATATACTCATGAGAAATTACATTTCTTTCATTATCCACTGAAACTTAAAGATAGCAATCTTATTTTTCTGGTGGTCTGTTTCTGCTGAAATTTGTTTTACAGGTTGAGAGATGAGAATGGTCACATTATAGAGCATACCCAGGTAAGAATTAGAATTCTCTGAGAATTCAACTTTTAATTTATTCAGTTTAACTATTAATGTTTTAATTGCCAAGGTTAATGATAAGCAGTCTATGCTGTCAATTGTTGTCACTAAACTTCTTATATGTGGAATGCCTAGGTCATTTTTTCAAATTGTGCAAATAGTTACAGGAAGAGCCGGCATTTTCTAGATGGTATTATAGCATAATTTCTAGAAAGAAGAAGAATATTGTCACTGGAAAATTTAGGATTGTGTTTTGAGCTTTATTTATTGTGATCCATATTCATTTCGATGAGTGTAGAGATAAAAGTAATAATAGATCTCTTTTTATCAAGTGCTATGTTGATCCCTAACTTTAAGTTCAGAATTATTTTAATAATCTTCCCTGTCATCCCCTGTTTTTACACCAGTCAAAAGTTATCGATATAAATACTCTAGATCAATAAGAAATAAACTCAATTCATCTCTCCTATTTTTATTCCTACAAGTAGACAGATGGTTTATTACGAAGAATTTCATTCTACTGGGTAACCCAATGAGGATTGACATGATAATTGAGCTTTAATGTGAAAAGAATATGACATCTGGTGCTTAATTAGTTAAAAATTATCAGAACTAGAAATTGTTTGATTGCGAATGTTGGTGAACTGGTTTTTGTTTCGGTGAACTGGTTTTCGTTTTAGTGAACTTTTATTAAGTTTCTGTGTCATTTCTCATTTTTTGTTGTATATGTGGCTCATATAGAGTAGAACACAAACTCCCTGGATCAAATAGGCCGATGTTGAAGCAGAGCGGAGTGGAGCGACGTCATCGGCCTTGCGCGGGTTTAATTCACTGTTGGGTTGCTAGGGACGCTGAATGGGTTGGCGATACGGTACATGGGTATTTTCTTGTATGGGCCTTAAAGTCTTTAGGGATTTAGGCTAGAGTTAGTATAAATAATAATTTTGTAACCCTATTTTTTTATACTGAATAAAAGTATCTCCGTTTCGCTCTCATGGACATAGGCACACTGCCAAACCACATAAATTCTTGTGTTGGTTTTCTATTTCATCTCTCTATTATTGCGCATAAAATCCAACAAGAGTGATAAAAGTAATGCCGAAGAAGTCCTGTTGGAGCAGTAAAATGTAGAGGAGAAAGAAACAAGGCATAGAGGGGATAATAACAAGGAGGATTTCTACCAAGACCAGGCTGCATATGATGACATATATATTAGCTTTTAAGGGGAGAAAAGATACAAGACTAATTTTATGATTTTGTACAAAGCACTGAACCAAAAACAGGGGATTAGAATTGTTAGAGGATTAGAAGATTGTCATGTTCTTATTCAAAATTATGGCTGTAAGTTATTTTCAATTGATTTGCATATTTTTTATTACCTCATATTATACTTTTAATTACAGATAGAGTAAGCACAATCTGATCACAGTTTGCAAATGATCATGCATTCAAAATAACAATGACAAGTGATTTTAGATGGAAATTATTTTTTGCGTGCAAGACTTCCATTATTTTAACGTTGTTACTGAACATCCAATATAGGATTGACTAAAAATCTGATCTCAGTGAATCTTAACAAGAAATCTAGGGCAGAAAACAAACTTCTAACTATTTCTCTTCACTCTAAAGGTTCTCTTGTATTGTTAAAAATTTATATATACTCTTGTTTGTTACATATTTAGACTACCTCATATGTGTTTAGTTTCATTTGTTTCACTTTTTGATGATAGCCAACATGCTGTCCATGTGGAGACCAGCGCAGGGTGCCTTCATCATGTGGAAATTTTTGTGAGTCCATTATACTCATTGATTCAAAATCTTAAACACGTACCTGGAAAGTGACATAACGGTTTGTGGCAATTAGTTATGGCTTGCAATTTTTTTGAATTAGTTGACAAGTTGATGAAAGGGAAAGCAAACACAGCACACTGTCTTCGATTCCCAGGTGATTGGTATGGTATCTTTTTGTAGTCTTCTTTTGATAGGTTGATTATGTTAGGATGCAGAAAGTTCAATAACTATGTTATGTTTCACCATGTTGAGTTCTTAAGAATTGTTTGTTTTCAAATGCAATGTCAGTTTGGTTTATTTTGTGAATAAGTAACTTTTCTTTTGAACTTCCAATTATCTTGTGCGTGCTTTCTTTCGTATAGAGTGTGTAACCAGTTACATTAAAATATATTCTGACTAGAATAAAGTTTCTTGTACATTCCACATTGTACATGAAGTTTGACATGCTTTGAAAATTCAAAATGTTGTTGGCGGGAAAGCGTGTAGTTTAAAAAAACTGTCTAATCATGCTACAACATGTGGCACAATGTCAAACTTGGTGTCAAATAAAATATACAAATAGCACGATTGTTCTGACTATTCTGCAAAGTTTTTGTTGCTGAATTCACTCTTATCTGTTTTAAACTTAAGTGTATGGCAGTTATTTGAATGGATGAAAAGAAATTAACGTTTGATTGAAAACGGATTTGTTCCTTGTACCTTTACATAATATCAAGTAATTTGCTAATAATTGAGAATGTCATGATTGTAGAGAGAGTGACATTTCATAAGCAGATGTAGAGTTTAAAATATAGTGTACAAATGATTATTACAACTACAATGTGGAAATATAAATTCTCAAAGTGTAAATAACATAACCAATCGACTTCAAGCCTTCTTCAACACCATCAATGGAGTCTCCTATGATGTTGAGCTTAGATTTGTGCCACACCGGATCGTATACCGTCATTTACAGGAATGGTAATGGATATACAGAGAGAACCGCCTGAACCAACCAAGAATTTCACCGAAAATATGAACATCTCCCTCTTAGCTCCTCTATATTTTCTCTCTATGTTTTCCAACTCTCTAAGTCCAAAATGATAACAAGTGAATGCACATATAATTATAGAGCGAAAACCATATGATTTCAAATTCAAATATTGTACTATGAAAGGAACATGACTATTAGGGTAATTGACCACAAGATTAAATCCAATGGTGGATTTAGTCTATGGTCCTAATACACATCAACTAGCACAATCCTTTCAAAGTGCTCAAGACCAACAATCATGTGCCAAGTGGATTAAAGTGATCCACCTCACAGTAGACTTGAAAGTTGAGATCTTTATGATTATGATTATGATTTTCCTTTGAATTTTAATGGCATGCTAACTGATTGATGTATTCATTCTCATCCGTGACTTATTTTAAGTTGACATCAGGTTCCACGTGTTTGGTCTTGGACAGCGCTCAATTGGGTTTAGTATCCGTATTGAAGTTAAGACAAGAACTAAGACAGCAGTATGTAACTTTCTAATTATCTCTTTATATATGTTTGCTAATTGTATTTGTTATTCAATCTTTAAAAATTACCTTTCCTAGTTTTGCCTTGGAACCGACCATGCACCATATCCATATCTTTATAATAATTTCTGGATGTGAGTAATATCTACCGGCCATCTGACATGTTTCAATTATTAACCATTTTGTCTGCAAGCTGAAGATGAGTCCTCGTTCATCAATGGTCAAAGATTCATAATCTTTATTTTACATTGGAAAGTACTTACACATATACGAATGATGTAATTAGCACCAGTACTCATCTTATGCTAAACACTAATGATATGGTGTTAAGTGTGTCTACTGTCATTTACATTTTTTTTTTCACTGGAATGACATGTGAAATGCTTGTTCATCATTTTCCTTATGCATTCACTCTTCCTTTTCGTCTCTTTGACACGAACCATTTTTCGCAAATGAATGTACAACCTACATCAGAAACTTCTAGAACAGCATCACACAATTGTAGAAAGGATGATGCATGATTGTAACATGGAAAATGATAGAAAAGTTAAGGCCTTATCAATAAACTTACATGCCGAAATTGTAGAAATGGCATCGAATAAAAGCTATCTTATATGGGGGCTTTGGCAACTTTTCTAAAATCTGCTTCAATCAGAATTTTATTTACTAAAAGTTGTTACTAACTAGAAATATTTCATGTTATGAGTTCTCTTTAATCTAAAAGATAGCCCACATTGTGATATATTCATCTGATGGATGTTCATAAACACAATCTTTCAACTCTGCAATCTGGTGCACCAGGAAGGATAAAAAATTTCGATTCCATTTAATTCATTTGGATTTTTACTGGCAGGAAGTGATCGTGGGTCCTGAGAACAGAACTGCAATATCTAGTGATAATTTTTTGAGGGTCAATCTTATTGGAGATTATATTGGATACACTGATATTCCACAATTTGATGACTTCTACCTTGTTATACCTAGACAGGTAACGTTTTTATCTCTACTTATGGGAATTCAAGTGTAGTAATCCAGGATTCAAGTTTTAGCGTTGTTTCTGGTAATGTCATTAAGTCGGCATTTTTATTAGTGATGTTTTCCTATTCTCTCCTGCCTGCTGGTATTATGAAATTTTAAGAAGTGAATTATAGTTTAACATACCTATATTTAATTTCTTGAGGCGGCACTCATTTTTCTCTTATTGAAGGGTGGTCCACGTCAACCACAAAATCTGGGAAGCAATTTTTCCATGTGGATGCTTCTTGAAAGAGTCAGGTTTACTCTAGATGGTTTGGAATGTAACAAAATTGGTGTTGGTTATGAGGCTTTCAATGGACAGCCAAACTTTTGCTCTGCACCATTTTGGAGTTGCTTGCATAATCAGTTGTGGAACTTTTGGAATGTCAGTAAATCAAACTAAGCATCTATGGTCCAGTTCCTAAACAATGTCTAATTTTTTGGTTTATTACTGTGACTTTTTTGATCTAAATAATTTCTATTTGTGCTTGACTTCAAATTTCTTCAATGATGAAGATCGTACTATTAGATGAGAACTGGTTTACTGTTGATTATAGGTATCTTCAAAGTGTCACAACTGTTCTGAACTGAGAGGATTTGTTTTCTGTCATCGCAGGCTGACCAGAACAGAATTAGCAGGAATCAAATTCCTCTATATTGTGTACAGGGAAGGTTTGACAGGATAAATCAACATCCAGTTACGTTTTAGGGATTTTAAATTCTAAATACTCGAGAATTTTACACTTAAATGTCTAACCAGTGTCTAGTCTCTGCAGGAAGCGGGGAGTCGGGCATTTTCCATAGGAATTACAGAAGTCCTTAACACAAACCTTTTGGTGGAATTGAGTGCTGATGATATAGAATTTGTATATCAAAGGTTAGCCTTTCTTAAAATATTAAGCTTATTTTTATTATTCTTCCTGTTGTTTTCTCACAACTTTCACCTTTTTTTGGTCTCCATCAGTCTATTACTCTATTTTTCATGTGTATTCATTTTTCCTGGTAGACATTACTCCTCAAGCTGCTGCCCTGTGAACAATTATTTGATTTTATCATTTTGATTAATAATATACAAGATTTTGAGGTTAAAAACAGGTAGGAAGAACAACGGATGTTGTCCTCCCCCTAAATTGAAACCCTTTTTTCCCTTCTGATTCTGTTGAAAATATTGTGAAATGATAATGCAATGATGAGATTCTAAATTGTTGCATTTTTACATTTTTCTACTGCATATGATTGTAGCTTTAGTTTCACATTTCATGTTGTTACTAGTCTAGTAAACATATACATTAAATATATTAAGATTGATTAGCTCTGCAATTCCCATTTTTGCAGGAGCCCAGGAAAAATTCTGGGCATTACTGTCCCGACTTTTGAAGCTCTTACCCAATTTGGGATAGCGACAATTACAACAAAAAATATTGGTGAACTAGAAGCATCGTATAGCCTTACGGTAAAACATAGTGTTTAACATTTGAAGGTTTCTAAGTTAATCAATCATGGGAATTTAACTCTTATATCTGCCTCTTGATGTGTAATTTCTAATTAAGCACTTTTAATGTGTGATATATTTTGATATGTTGTTATTTTTTATTTACTTTCCATGGAAGCCAAATAAGTACATAGGCTTGTAAGAAGCTGCCACAAGATGGACTAATGTCCAGCCTGTCAACCTAATCTCTTCTTTTGCATTGGGCGATATAACTACTTCCTTTAAAGATGACTGATAGGACTTGCTGCCGTTGCAATTAACCTAATTATATTTTGTGGGTTTAAAAATTTTGGGTCTTTTCTTCTGTAGTGTAGGAGCATTTTATGTAGTATTACAGTTGTAGTCCTTTGTAGAACTTCTGCAACGGTCATTTTTATTCTCTTGTTGATTGCAGAAAGGCTACAGAAGAGCATGAGAAATAATGTTTTAGTTGTGATTATTCTTTTGTATTGTGCACATAATACTGAAGTTTGGAGGTCAAAATAGAAATTTGAACGATTAAGTGCATTATTTAGTGTATGATCAAAGATTTTATCTTGCAGTTTGATTGCTCATCTGGTGTCAGCCAAATGGAGGTAACTACATAGTGTCAGATTTCTGCTGTATGCTTACAACTATACTTCTGCACCGAACATAGCATCGCGAGTGATAGTATTTGTGATTATGTATTGTATTGCAGGAACAATTCTATATAATGAAGCCAACAGAAGTAATAACCCGATCATTCAAATTGTACCCAACAACAGATCAAGCTGCAAAATATGTGTGCGCAGGTACATTTAAATATTAATTTTTGGTATGAGAGAATATTGATGAAATGAGATTTAGCACACGAGGTCCCATATAAATTGATAAAATATGCCCTTTTTAAGAAGAGCCTTAGGGTCATTTTTTCACTCCCTATGCCATGTGGAGACACAAAATGTAATTGAATTTCGAATCTGAATTGAATCATTATACTTGTTTGCAGCCATATTAAAGGATTCTGACTTTAGTGAAGCTGATAGAGCGGAATGTCAATTTACAACTACAACTACTGTTCTTGACAATGGATCACAGGTTTGCCTACAGCTAGTAACTTATCTTCTCTTCCTGAGAAGTCTCATGGAATTATTGGAACGGGTAACAACAAAAGACAAGGAAAAAAATGAACATTTGTATAAGATTTATGATTCTGCTCTCTTGGATGAATAATGGGCAACTCTAGCTTCAACTCGAAGGGGACTACATACGTTGCAGATACTTCTTGAAGGGAATTCATATAACAATAAAAATATATTCTTCCAGAGGTTGCTAAAGGTTTAAGGGGACCTTTAACTGTTAATATGAGCAGCCTCATCACAAATCCAGCGAAATCCTGTAAAAAAACTCTACAAAGAAGGCTTTGTTAGAAATTATAGAGCTAAAATAATTAAGATAGAAATACAAAGTCCATTGTATTAATGATGAAGATTGAATTTTATCCGCCACATAGTCTTTTAAGTTAGTAGTATATATACTTTTTGACTGAATCACATCAATTTTTGCCTCTAATCAGATTCCATTTCAACCTCCGAAGACAAGTATTAATGGTTTCTTTGAATCAGTAGAGGAGATTTGGAGCAGGTTTTGGACTGGTATGGCAGATTTCATTACAGGAAAAAGTTGCAGGTATTATCTTTTCTTATAAGACCTGATGATACATTTTTAAATGTTGGAACGTGTCTTCACTAGGATGTTCTCCTTTTACCTACAAATCATTTTACTTTCTCCAGCTGTTTCTTCCACCTTTTTTTTATTTTTTTTATTATTTATTTCATTTTTTTGTTGTTGTATTGTGTTGTGTTGTGCTAGAGACACTGAAGGGCATTATCATGTCCCTTTTTGTGTTCTTGTCCTCTATGGATATATTGATGATCTTACTCTGCTCATTGATTGTCTTTGTCCTCTCAATTTAGACTTTATGCACATATCCATTTTCATTGCTAATTTGCAATATTTTCAGAACTACAGAGTTCCATGTAATTTACAGACTCATTAGAGTTATGTAACATTTTCTGTAACAAGCTAAAAAATAGGTTTACACATTTGTTTTGCAACTGTTTATACATACCTTCAAACACAAAGCAAAGGAAATATGTTTTCTAATGATGTTTCCATGTTCTTGTACGAAGCAGGGGGAAATGCCTCGGGTTTTTTGACTTCAGTTGCCATATACAGTACATCTGCATGAGTTGGATATTGATGTTTGGGCTATTCTTAGCAATTTTTCCAGCAGGTTTGATGCTTAGTCACTTTTAAATGAATGATAAAAGAATCTGGACTTGGAGATAATATAATTGATGTCTTGTGTTCTGAGTTGCAGCTGTTGTCCTGCTCTGGCTGTTACATCAGAAGGGACTATTTGATCCTCTGTATGACTGGTGGGAGGATCACATGTGGACATCTGAGCAGAGAAATCGAGAAATAGGGAATCATGGCGGAGATGCTGATCTTTTACTCTCCCAATACAAGAAAAATCATAAGCATGATGCGAGGCATCATAAGCATGAAGCTAGAAATAGGCGAAGAAATATTCATAGTGAGCACGGACACAACCACTTAATAGGAGAAAGCAGTTATCATCACTATCTTCACCATGTCCACAAGGATAAGCATAAGCATGGAAAAATCAAGAGTTCAGGCACCGTAAGAGACATTCACTTGAGTAGAAGGGATGACGACGACGTTAGATATCATAGAAAAAGAAATGAAAGAAAAAGCCATGGCAGGGATTACTGAAAGTACCATAGAGTGATGAGAACCAAGTTGACTATTGTAAGCATTAAAATGCCGTTTCCGATGGTGTTGTTAAGTGCATTCTACTAGGAAGAATGAAGTGGACTGGATGACAGAAATTGATTTTGTAGTTTGTAACATCTATCTCATTGAATGATGACATCTACTGAATTTTCACTTCTTTGTTTCTTTCATCACAACGCCAGAGAATAAAACATTGATGTGAAACATGGGAATGGGGGTCATTAGTCATAACGCGGGTAATAACAAAATCACATATACTTCCGTGATATCATATCATATATTTAAGTCTGTATTACATATTTCAACGCAACACTCTTTCTTTTTCTTTTTTCCTAGACCGACTGCTTTTTCTGTTTGGGTAAAACAAGTGTATAGACATCAAAAAATTGTATATATCCGGAGCAAAAAACATTGATTGGTTTCTATGGAGAAGTAATAATATTGCTATCTCCCATTTTCGCTTAGCGTGTTTGATTGTTGAAATTATCTCTATAGTAGCTTGAGAATATCAGTCCTGCATGTGTGGATGGAAAACCAGAATTTCCTGTTTCATGCCTTAGCCATAAACTGACTTGCCTGTGCATCAACTTGGTTAGATTGCTGACTCCTACTTTTGTGCATTTTTTTCAGAAAGAGAGATGTGAAATCCATTTGGAAACTGTAAACCAGGAGTTCGTACAATGTCTCCACCTTTGATTGCTTGCCACCTGACAGATGCAGAAAAGGTTTGTCACCTCACTCTATTTATCATGCATAACAATATACAGTTAGTGCATTGTAGTGTATTCAGAACTCGATACTATATTGAATAAGATTTTAGTAGCTTATTTCTCTTATTACTGCCAAGTTCTATCCGAACGTTTAAACATGCAATTACAGAATGTCTTGTTCTTACTTGTACTTGGTTACCAGGCAATGGAGAAAGATGGCCATCTGCACCTTGGTGAAGTCTGTTCCTACACAAAATCTCATACCACCTCCAAAAGCCATGAAGTTTCTTGAGGCACCATTTGTGTCTACTCCCTGTATGACATGAATATTACCTGATTATGAGCTGAAATAAAATAAATATAGGATGAGCATCAAGAGTCCAGAAATACATGCCTCCCATCTCCATGGATTGAAGTCAAGGGGATTGCTATATTTGGCAGGGTTCAAGTGCACAGCTGGGGGACAAACCATAACCGCCCAACCAGCTGGAATGGTATGCCCTGCATTCCCCAATTATATTAAGGTATGAAACACGAACCAATATGGAGATTCTTTTCAAAATAATTGAAATTAATTTTGAATATATACCTTTGAATTTGATATCCTTCAGTGCTTTTCTGAAAATGCCAGGAACTATGTTGGCCAGTCTGACTGTTTCGTTGATAAACTGCAATTTAATGTCTTTTAGATATGGAAACATTGAAAAAAGTTTTCAAAATTCAATTAAAAAGTGACATTGATGGATTCACCTGAAACGTAAACTTCATTGATTTGTACTCATTCCATGTTAATCCAGAGTCTGGAATTTCCCTCTTTTTAATTATTGCCTCGTGCTCTTCCTGTAAGATAATTTAAGCATGTCAATGGGGTAACACCGCGAGAATTTATATCTAACTCGAAGGTTATTTATTGTCACTTACTGTCAATTCTTTTAAAACCAAAGGATGGTCAGAAAGAAATTTCATTGCTAAAGTTAGTGCCAGGGAGGTTGTCTCGTGGCTGGCAAATAGTAACACGAACATCAAATCCAGACCTATTGACTCGGTAAGAATTGTATCCTGTCGTTGAAGTTCTTCTAGGACGTAATCAAAGAAATCACTTTGGAACTTTCTTGGCCTTTCACGTCTTTCTTGTAGCATGCTTTTGAGCATCTTCATTGCCTTCTTTCTTCCCTGATCAAAGTACAAGCACAAGTTAATCGAGTAAAGATTCCATAAAAATCAGTAATGTGGTGGCATTTCTTGCACATTCAAGTATCATACAATAAGGGTTCTAATAACCTGTAAACATTTGTGGTAGGCTGTTCCAGGAATGTTGAGAGGGAAGGAGATTAATCCCTTTATGAAAGCTTTAAAATTTTTCCTTAGATTGTCTGAGGACTTTTCTACATCGTAACTGATTAACTTTTTTGCTGTCAGATCAAATATCATCTGCAGAATCACCAAATGAAATCCATTTAATTGATAGAGAAACCAATGGAATTTAATGAGAGCTAGAAGTTTGCCTTCTTTTCACCTTTGACGTTGATTCCTTCATCTCAGTCATTGTCTGGCTTGACCATCTTTTTAGGTATATATTTGATGCTTGTTCAACATCAGGAAGCATCTTTTTCAGACTTTCTGGACCAAACAGATTCAGAACCATGTTCTTAAGGTACTTGTACATAAACCCATGCAGAGAACCTACATTCTGCCTGCCGAATATTTCCACAAAGGTACTAGGATACCAACTTTCAAACAATTGTCCCTCTTGTTGAAATATGAAATAATTAAGATCTGCATCTGTGGATACTATAACTGGCCGTCCCACCAAACTTGTCTTGAATATTGGTCCGTATCTGAAAAATAATACCAGAGACATCATATGATTGCTTATGTGCATTTGTTATTATATTTGAACAACATAAGTTCTGGGTTACAATGAGATTACCTATGGATTCTTTCCTTCACAAAAGGAGGAATATCAGATGAAGTGTTCGGAGCAAAGAAGTGCAGAGTCTCTCCAAGGAGTGGCCACCCCATTGATCCCGGTGGGAGCACTCCATTGCAGTCTGGATTCCACCACTTGTAAAGCCAATGTGTAATGTTTATAACCAAGATAGCTGCAATGCAGAAAATTGCTGGAAACATCTTTATATGAAAGACAATGCAGAGAGTATTTTGAAAGAAATTGTACGATGATATGAATTTCCAAGAGAAATGAACTGTACAGGTCTGCCTTTCTTTGCAGAAATGGGAATTGAGGTTGAATGTGATGAATGAAGAGACAGTGATGAGAAGAAAGTGCTGTCATGTACCGAATATCCACGGGGAGAAGTCCTTAAATAGGCAGGCAATAATGTGCAAGTAGTAGAATAACAATATTCAATTGGATCTATTTGTTTTTAGAAGTTGGTTGCTCAAAAAGCTGTATACACCACACACTGTTGCATATGATAATAGAATTTTAAGAATAATTTTGTCTAGTTCAGACCCTTATCCTTTGTCAACGCCATGTTTAAAAATTTCTACAGAAAGCAAGCCTAGCATGATGGTGAAGATTCCAGGTTGCTTCCTCTCTCTCTCTCTCTCTGTCTCTCTCTCACACACACACACTGGTTCTTCTCTTTGAAGAGTCGTTGAATGCAAAACTAAAGGAGCACGACGAGGAAATATGCCACTTTTTTTAACGAGATTCGCTGAGAAAGAAACTATTTTCCCCAGATTTAAGAAAGTAGAGTTTCTAATTAATCATCTGTCTGACTCATTATGTATGAAATAATCATATGAAAACATAAACCACGAGAATCTGAAGGATATTAGGTTATTCACAAATCTTTCCTATATCTATGCTAAATATGCCACAAAATAATTGTTCTTCCCTACCTTACTCTATATCTCTTCTTTTCTTCTCTTTTTTATTAAGGAACTAGATCCCATCCTAGATCTTCTTTAGCTGTACATAATCTCGTATCAAATTCTGAATCTTAATTGCATCACCAGTGACATTAAAAATGTTGTCTTCTAGATATTCTTGCTCTTATCGAATTCTAAATTGTCTTCTAGATATTCTTGCAACCACGTATCTGTTTTTGTGGTCAATTTACTTTGTTTTTAACTTTTTCCAGGATGCCATTCAACACATAGAGCACCACCCCAACAGCCCTTTGAGCCACGGGCTTTAAGCTCATTCAACACCCGAGGTATAGACAGGTTACTGTATTATAACATGATACAATTTCAAGCCTTCTTAGCAGTTTTTGAATGCATGTTTGCTTGGTTTACTACACATTTTTTCGCTGTAATTTTAGAGAAGATACATTTTTAGGTGTAATAAATACATGTGCACAAGGATCTAAAACTTTGTCTGTTATTTGTTTTCTAATAACCCTCTTTGCACTCGTGTGCAGACTGATTACTCTATGGTCAAAGGGGACATGGAACTTTAGACCGGAAGGGCATATCTCGTTCAGTGTATTAGATAAAATTGGACAGTACAAGAAATATGCAGTAAAGGTACAAAATGTTATATTGAACAAAATTACGTCATACAGATGTTAATGTGTTTGCATTTAACCTCCCCAAAATTTACCTTTCATGGTTGTTTAAGTGCATTGTACCACAAAGGAGGTGGAGGAACAATGACAGCTCATAGTTTTGAGTTTGAGACGTCTTGGAATAATAAATTTGTATAGAGAATAGTATTCAAATGTGATGTGCTAAGTCAAATTCTCCGGACTAAAAGTTGCTTTTATTAGAATAAACTTGGGTTATTTATGGTGGGTTTGTGAGTTCCCACTTGTTGTGATGGTATGATGCATACATCCCATGTTAGGGACCTACTTGCAAAGGATGCTCACATGAGTGGTGACAATTCTTTCCTAATTAAGTACTTTATAAACATTCACTTGAAACTACTTGGAGAATATATTGTACAAGTGGGAATAGTATTAGCAAATGAATTAAGCTATTTGTAAATAACTGATTATTGTATCCCGTGATGGTGAGTCATCGAACATTTAATAATTTGTTTATTTCTAAAATTTATTTAAAATAGTTTTGGAGTTTTCTACCTGGTTCATAGGGATGGCAATTTGAACCGTCAAAATCGGAAATCACGGTTAACCGAATCGAATGGGGCGAAAAAAATCGAACCGATGGTGCAATGGGGCGGATATGGTTTTTATTTTTATGAACCGGTTCGTGGCGGTGTGGGTATGATATTTACGTCATCGAACCGAAATCAAACCGATTACTCGCTAAAAAAATAATTAAATTGATTATTGAGCTTTACACTACTTTTCTATCTAACCTAAAATAAAATCCCCCCCATTACATCTACATGACTCAGCCGGCCAACCCACTTACCATTAGCCCGTAATAATAGTATTAGTATGACAGTATATAAATACAAACTTTACTCTCCACATACCACAAACTCACGCACGGTTCCTTTTATTGTTAATTTTTTTCTATTGTGTGTAAAAAATTATACTTTTTCATCATACTCTAGAGTTTGTGCAACGTTTAGCAAGAAGGAAGTTGACGAAGAGATACATTTTTTTTATTTAAATCTTAGTTAAGACCATTTTGGAATACACAGTATTGTTGTATTTTCTACTTACATTTCTTATTTACTATATATGAATCAATTTTGAGTGTTGATATATGCTAATAAGACTTGTGGAAAAGAATGAATCAAGTAACTTCGATACACAACAATTAAGAATGAAGGAAAAATTTAGTATTGTTATATTCATAAGATTGTTTGTTAAATTTGTATTTTACAATTGAAAATTTGGATAATGTTTGCATTTTTGTTTGGAATATTGTGTTTTTGTTTTCATTGACTTTTTTCATAAATTGTTTTATATCAATTTGACGGATGAACCTATAAAAAATAATTTATTTTCGTGGTTATTAATCGAACCGAACCATGCCGAACCGAGAACTGAACTGATTTACGTGATTATGGTGCGGTTATGGTATGATCAAAAAATTGGTGGTGCGGTTATGATTTTGGCCGAACCGACCCATAATCGAACCGTTGTCAACCCTACTGGTTCATTGACACTGAAAATAAAATAGTTGACAATATTTTATGTACTTATCTTCCACCTCAAAGATTGTTAGGTTGTAAGCATTACTAGGAACGGTTGTGCTATATGTACATTAATTTATAGATTTGTTTACTAATAGATGATGTGGTAAAATTTCATTGGATTAAAATCTCATTAACCAATTAAAAAAGAGTCCATACTTTTTGACATTTCATCAATATGTAAATAATGATGTATAACAAGTATTTTCCCTAGGAACACTCTTCATATATTGCTCGATTTCGTATAATTCTCAATGAAAATCATCAGAAAATGTCAAATGATATGACCAAAACACACCATGGAAATTGATTCCTCTTCCATTAGGTAAACTTAATGGAATGATCACATACACCCCTTGTGGTTAAAATCTCCAATATTCCTTAAATTTCATAGAATAGATGTCAACTTTCAATATTTCATCACACGCTCGGTTTGTTAGGTTGGTTTTTTGTTTGAGTTCGTACCGTGTTTTAAAAAAAAAAAGGAATCGTACCATTCAAGCCAAATTTTTTTTCATGCTTTTTATGGGAGTTATGAAGAAAACTGCTATTCATATTATTTATACAGAGTATACATTTTTCTACGTGTAGTAGTAGTAATCTTGTTTACTTATTTTAAATGAAGTTTTGCTTCCACATCGTAAAGAATATGGTGTGTTTTGAGAACATAACTAATGGAGCGAGATGTATAAAATATTTATCTGTTATCACATATTTTTTAGTAATGTTATTTAGCCTCGTTGAGGTTGCAACCTCAATATAAGTGGCGCTAATGTGGCATTCAATTATATGTGGAATTTAGCGTATCATTTAACGTTATCTAAACTGTGGTTACAATCCCAATAAAAGCTACATGGCATTACTATATATTATTATATTGTACGTAAATTTACACCTGCGCATATATTATACAGCATTATTCAGATATATGTACATTTATGTATATACCTATGGGACACAATTGTTTGCAATTATTTCCATTATTGTAAATCATTTTCAAATGTTGCTCACGTTGCTCACAAATAATTGTTTTAATCTATGAAGAATATGATGACATGTGCATGACAACACACACACACACACTCTTTATTACCTTAATTTTTTTTTCTTTAATAATATTGAACTTCAGTGGTGGAAACAACATTTACGATAAAAACTTAAAGTCTTATATTCAACACATCTCTCATGGTAGATAGTTTTCTTTGTTTTCCCCATTAAAATCTGACATGTGAGTTATTAAATGAGTGACAATATGAGTTAAACTTATAATTTTACTTGTTTCAATATTATCATGTTCAATTACTTGATCTAAAAACTTAAAATGTGAAATAAAATCATATATGTTATGCCTCTGTTTAGAGATAACTACAGGTCAAGTATAGGATGGGCCGATCATTCCCTTCTCCCATCTTGTTTGATATTTTTGTAACCTTACCCCATCCTATATCCTATTAAAGCGGGGCGAGGTGGGTTCGGGATGGGATCTAGATGAGACAGGGGTAGGATTTTTTTATTTTTTAATGTCTTTGGTTAGTGAATATTATTACTTTTCCAATTTATTAAGAACAACTCATGTTCTCTTTAACAATGATAATAAATCTTTTATTTTGTTTGATAAAAAAATTTAAATTTGAAATTAACTTTAAACAGGATAGGACTATGTTTTCTATACAATGACCATCGTCCCATACCAGTCTTGTTGACCCGATTAAGCAGGTAATCCTCGCTCCGTTTGGGATGAGATTTCGTGAGCATCGAGTTAAACAAGTTTTATTGTCATTCCTACCTCTATTTGGTAGTCAAGAGTCAAGAATTAGTTTTAAATATAATTTAATGGGACCTACAACTTTTTAATCATACATTTCATCAACTTTTATTAAAATCTATTAGAAATTAAATTTTAATCTACATCAAACAATGGCAATATATATCATTTAAATATTATCAATTAACAATTTTGAAAGGAAATACCTTCGAAATAAGTTAGCCCCCGTTTGGCCCCATTGTTTCAAATTTTAATGTGTGGAATAGTACCTTCTTTTAGAGAATGTATGGTTGAAAATGAATTTTTTTT